TTTTATATAAATAAAACTATTATTGATGAATCTAGATATTTACAATTTCATAAGTTTTCATACAAATACAAATACAGAATGCTATTTTAGTACAGAGAAAACATACTATTCATAGTTTTATGGGAATTTAAAGCTATATTATACTATTTCAGAACACAAATACTAATACAACAGAAAATATAGGGTTTTCTTGGGGAAAAACATACTTACATTTTGCAAAGGAACAAATAACAGATTTCAATTACAAACATGCTTATGAAGTCACCAACTTAATTGTTGACACTCCTTTCAAAACTACTTGTATTTTCAGGAAATTGATAAACAGGTACCCACTAGCTTTGAGGAAGATAGTGTTTCATATAATTATGTCTTTTAGTTATACTTTTTGGTGTAAAATATACACTGTTTTGAAAACGAATGTAAAGTTATATTTTATCAATGTAATGAATGTTGTACTTTGATTACTATTGTGCATTTTTGTGATGTTACACAGGAAGTCATCCATCTCCGAAGATTTTCACCGTTCCGGTTTGGGGGGTGTAACATGATGTACTTGGGATTAACAGTATCCTAGTGATAATTAAACACATGATTGTATTTTAATTAGCAAAACCATTAATTTAAGTGTTAAGAAAACACTTGTTTTTGTGTTAGGAAATGTTACCAAGAACTGTTTGAAGTGAAGGGGAGGGTTCTCGGTCCAGAGGGGTTATCGGTCGGAACTAGTTTTCGGTCGAACACAAGTTCTCAGTCAAAATCAGGTTCTTGGTTCTGCTCTTATTTTCGGCCACTTGAAGATATGAAGGCTGTTCTTGGTGTTCTTGACGAAAAATATGAAGATTTGAAGGTTTACACTCTTGAAGATATGAGTGTTCTTGGATGATCCTTCGGAGCAAAATGAGAGGGTTTTCGGGTGACAATGAGTGAGAAATGATCAAGTTTTCTAGGGAAAACTTTTATCACGATTGAGTTTTTTGCCAGGATGGAGTTCTCGAGATCTGTTTTCGGTCGGAGGGTTTTTGGCCAAAAAGGGTTGGCTGAACGAATTTTGTTCTTTTTTGAGTGTTTTTTATTCCGAAAACATATATAATCTTTATTTATATATTTTAGATTATTTTAGAACCCACATGAACTTAAGGGAATAAATAAAATTCGAAATTTTATTTAAGGATTATGACTTTTATTGACAGGAAAAGTATCGGATTGTCACACTTTGTTCCATTACATTCTTTATTTTGACCGATTTAGACATCAACTGCAACATCCACGAGCCAATTATGTTTTATATTATTAGAATTAAGCTGTATGAAAATCAAGTAACATTAATTTACCAACTATTTTGATAAAGTTGGATAGTTTATACTTGAAAACCTCTCATTGTATAAACTCAACATCGTTATAATCAAATAATAGAATGTTTAATTATATTGTTTCCTTGAACTTTAATTTTTTGAAAAGTTAATAATGATAGCAAATTAGTAGGGAATTATGTAACTATTTTAACTTTAAATGAAGACCTTTATTTATAGAATAAAAAAGTTTATTCAGTTTATTTACCATATTGATGTGGGATCCATTCATCTTTATCATGTGTCTTTTTGTATCTTGTTTGTTTATCCTACATCGCTTAAGAAAAAGAATTAAAGTGAAAGTAATAAGCTACAAGTAAAGAGGCTAATACATTTCTTATCCCACACTAGTTAAGAAATAAAACTCATGAGAAAACATATATTTATAAGTAAAGAAGATAAAATCTTCTCTTATATATTTGTTATCTTATGTTTTTGATTTTGACCGATGTATACATCGACTGCAACATTCCTGAAACCATGTGGTCGACCATGGAAGTATTTATTATTATTATTATTATTATTTATAATTATCATACTTTTTACCTTTTATGATATATATATATATATATATAGGGTTAGGTTCATGTGAGACGGTCTAATTTTGTGAGACCGTGAGACGCATTTTTTTTTTTTTTTTTTTTAGTTAATTCAAGTTCCGAAAATAATATTTTAAAAAGAATTTTTTGATTTTTCCATTTATTTTGCATTTTAAAATTATTTTTAGAATATGTACAATGTAATATTCTATTTAGAATATTTCACGTATTTTAAAAAAAAAAAAAAAAAATTTTATTTTTTTTAATTTTTTTTAGTTAATTCAAGTTCCAAAAATAATATTTAAAAAAAGGATTTTTATATTTTTCCATTTATTTTGCATTTTAAAATTATGTTTTAGAATATTTCAGTGTAATATTCTATTTAGAATATTTCACGTATTTTTCAAAAAAAAAAACAGGATTTTTTTTTTACTTTTTTTAATTAATTCAAGTTCCGAAAATAATATTTAAAAAAAAAGAATTTTTAGATTTTTCTATTTATTTTGCATTTTAAAATTATTTTTAGATTTGGTGTCACGGTCTCACAAAATTAGAATGGTCTCAAATTAAACTGAACACACACACACACACACACACACACACACATATATATATATAATTATATATATATATATATATATATATATATATATATATATATATATATATATATATATATATATATATATATATATATATATATATATAACGATGATAATTAGAATGCACTATTTAATCGAATGTTATCATCGTAACTTTCGACTTAGTTTTTAAACCTTTATGGAAAGTTTTAAGAAAAAGAAAACGCTTTTAACCCCCCCCCCCCCCCCCCCCCCCCCCTCATGTCAAGTATATTTCATGAGTTTTATTAAATAATCTTAAGTCTTGATGTTTATATAAAAGTTCAATTTTATTTGACGTTTATATACATAAAACTTTATAACTTCATTTTTTTAAATATTCATTGTAAAAAAGAAATTATGTATATTTAGTGTGACGATTCAAAAGAAATTTACATATATCACTACATATTGTACTACGAAAAATAACATTCTATGAACATTCAAACTTAATCATTTTTAAGTGTTTAACTAATTTTTTAAAACAGTCTGATAATTAAAATAATTGATGCCTAAACTGGTCAAAAACAAGAACGTAAGGGAACAGAAGTATAAGAGAAAATGTTTTAGACTCTATGTTTGTTTTACCATTAGTTTTGTTTCTTAGTCAATGTATGATAAGAAAAGAGTTGACATATTTACTTATACTTTATTGTTTTCACTTTAACTTTTTTCTTTGCAATGAGGGATAAAAATAAATGGGATAAAAATAAATGATACAAAAAGACACATGATAAAGGTGAATTTGATCCCAGATCAATATGGTAAACAAATTCAATAAAATGTTTTATTATATAAGTAAAATGGACAAAATCTTTTCTCTTTTATCTTTGTTATCTTATGTTTTTGATGTTGACATGTTTAAAAATCAATTGCAACTTTTCAGGAACCATACGGTCAGCCATGATTTTATTTTATTTGTATAGAATTATAGTATTTTGACCTTTTATTATATCTCATATTGATAGAATATAAGCATGCGATATTAAAATGACACTAATTAATGAAAATGTTAATATCATAAACTTTCAAATTATTTTTTTAACCATGATGGGAAGCCTTAATAAAAAAAATATTTTAACTTTGTTATGTCAAATATTTATTTACGGGAGTTAGTAAATAATCTTAAATCTTGACGTTTATCTAAAAGTTTAATTGTTTTTTTGAACATTTATATAAATAGAACGTTTAAGTTGATTTTTTTGAATAGTGTTTAAATGTCCATTGTCAAAAGAAAATTATCTATATTTATTGTGGTGATTCAAAAGAAATTTACATGTATCACTACATATTAACTATGGAAAATAACATACTATGAACATGAAAACTTACTCATGGTTTTAAGTGCTTAACTAATTTTTATAATAATTTTTAAGTTTCGATACTACTAGATGTTGAAACCAAATAATTGTATCCTTTGAAATTTTGATATATTTTTTTTAATATGTTAAAATGACCACTAATAAATATTAACAATAGTCTTTAAAGTCTTATTATGATAAGTATCAAGAATCAAAAGGAAGGATAAAAGAAGAAAATTGATTATAGTATATAAGGGGAAAATGAAATGTTAGATTTATTTATGAAACAATGTGTGAAAAATAAAAAAATTCAAATCTTTAGTTGTATTGAAATTGAGTATGAATTATGAGATCAGAGTAAAGTAAGATGGATGAACACGAGATCGAAATAATTTCTGTTTGACTCAATTATGCATACAGAATGTACAAAGACTTTTAGACAAAATGACGAAAGTTCTTATCTATCTCCATTACACACCCCATATTTATAGGGATCATGAAAGCAGACAAAAAATATAAGGGACTGAACACTAAAAGCTTTGATACATAAAGTGCCTTTATAATAAAATAACAAACTATCGAAACTATCCATGACCTTCGACACCTCACAATAATATTCGACATCTACATTCTCCCCCTTTATGAGAAGTGGCGAATCAATTCATCAACATCTTAGCAGCTTGATGTAAAACTCTTCGAACATTGTTGGCTCGGACTGTATGATATCGAAAATTATGCAACATACCCTAAAAATGTCTTTGGATATACTGAGAACCCGAACTATCTTGACTATGGACTAGATTTCCTCTTCCCTTTTTCCAAGTACGACATCAAACCTTTACTTCATCTGCTTGAACAAAAGTTTATCTTTGAACTTATCAACAATCTCAAATTGCTCATCCAAGAACATCATTTTATTCATTGGAAAGTCTAAATGATTAAAGTTAGTGTTCTTTGTGTCGTAACTTTTCTTTAGAGCTTTCTCAAAATTATGCATCTCTCCTAAAAACCTGAAGCTTCGACATAGTCGTAAGTATAATGTTTCAAAGGATAAATTTTGTTTAGACCATGAGGATCATTAGCTCTTTGTCGAAGGTTACTTTGAATTTGTCTCTGTTTCTCTATATCCTTTTTAATTGCTGCTTTCTTCTCTTCAACAGTGAGCTTAGTAATAATTAATTTCCCCTTATTCTATGTTTCTTTTGTGGTTGGAGGTGGTTTTGAAGAACTGGATCCTCCACCAACATAACCAATTACGACCCCTTCGGTTGTTATTGTTGTTGTTGTTGTTGTTGTTGTAGAGGATGAAATTGTACACACCTTGTGAAAAGGAGTTGGAATTTGAGTAGAAAAAATTTCTCAACAACCTTTGTGTCATCATCTGTTTCATTTGATGTAATTCCCCTAGCACTAACTCTCGATCCAATACCAACACCTCCTTTTTCTCCCCCGTGCACACATGTGGAAACAGGTGGGGCATCAGTTGGCATCATGTTTATAATCTTTGCGAGCGTTGCAAGCTCTTTTTGAATCATAGACTGCAACAATTTAAACTTACCAGAAAGAAGCTCTGGATTTATTAACAAAGATAAGACAAAACTAGACTTCAACACCAAGCCTTTCAATTCAACCAACAGAGTATCAATATTGCCATAACTCTTGTCATATTCGTCAACCTTCTTTGCAACCTTTGGAAGTATAGTTTCATACAAAGTAACATACTTAGTTACAACATCAACAATAATATCTGCCTTCTTGTGAAGAGAGGAATAATTGTGTTCTAATGCTGCAACTTCCTTTTCCATGTCTTCACAAAGTTCTTTAGTTTTCTGATTCACATCTTCACAAAGCTTCTTAACATCTTGAATAAACAGAACATGCCTTTCCCTTGCAACAACCTTCAAATCTGTAAGTGCTCCGTTAAAGGACTCTGATTGAGCTTTGATTTGTAACTCGTTGCATTTGTCCATCTGATCAAGTTTATCCTGAATATGATGCTCTTGAGCTTTTAGCATCACATCCACCTTGAGGCCAAACACATAATGTTTTCCCCTACCTCTGCTTAAAATTTTAAGGACGAATTAAGCTTCCTGTTGAGGATTTTGAACTTTTTTCTAGACATCAACATATTATCAGGAATATTATCTTCTTCTGGATCAAATTCAATTTCAGCAAAAGTGCCCTCAAACTCATTATCTTCAGTTTGATCATCTTCATGAACAGTTTTGTACTCAATTGATTGAGACGAAAGTAGAGAAGTAATGGGCTGATTGATGATGTTTTCGAAAGTGGGTGAATGAGTAGAAGTAGAGATGGTTGAGTGAAATGGTGGTAAAGAAGTTAAAGTAGCAATTATATAAGTTTTAAAAGATGATGAAAGAATGAGAATTGGATTACCTTGATCTTGATTAAGTTGGGATTCATTATTCGACACCCTATCACCCATGCTGATATTTGTGTCCATAATAGATATGTTCACAGGGATGCCTGAGGCTTTAACCTCCTCAGTAACTGATTCGGTATTCAAAACTTCAGGTGGTATGACTGTAGTATACTCAAGAGTGGAGATCTTCGGAAGATCACCTTGATTAGTGGTTGTGTCCACATTATATGCTTTCACAGGGCCACTAGAATTGCCAATCTCCTCTAAATTCGAATTGATTGGAGAACTCATCATCGGTGATGGAGTACCCATATTATCATCTCAAAGTGGAGATTCAAGAACTACTTCCTTATCCATTGAGTCTTCAATGATAATTAGCTTCCTCTTTTTCTTCTGCTTCTTGGAAATTCTTTTGTCCATGTCTTCAGCAAGCCTTTTTTTGGATGCTGGTGATAGTGGTTTTGGAATTTCCCGAAAGACAACCCTCTTTCTATAACATAAGGCTTGAAATTAAAGGTTGGTGAAAAACTTTTTGACTCTTCAGGTGAATGGCGTGGTTTATGAGCCATATTCTTTAACTGTTTCAACACACCTAATTATGTAGGTATCACTTCCTTTGAATGTATTTCAGTTTCTTCAACAACAGGCTTGGAATTTTGTTTCAAAGACTTCACTTCATTGATAACTTTCTTAAGAGATGGTTTTTAGCTTTCTTAGTACAAGCCTGATTATCCTTCTTTGATCCTCTGCGCTTCTTTGAACAACCTTCATTAGACTATTGTAACAATACTCCAGTCTCAATTGATGGATTGAAAGTCTGCAAGTAAGCTATCAATATGGGATTCCTTTCTATTAACTTTGCTCAACATCGCATTTAGAATACGAACAACCATCGGAAACACATAGGGACGATCTTCGACAGTTTTTGGATAATGGTACACCGAAAATTTAGCCGTTTCTTCATCTTCAGAAACTAGAATGCTTTCCTTCTCATACATAAATTGCAAAATTAGACTCCAGTATCGAGCACAAGAAATCCCATCTACAACATTTTTATTCCCTATACTCTGCTCAAACTCATTCCAAAGTTGAGTTGCATAGTCGACATCCAAATCTTAGTAGATACCTGCCACCATAGCATACACCTCCAATCGAGCTTTATCCAACCCTGCAGTTTGACCCGCCAAGCATCGAAGGTATATTCCAAATAAGAAATTCTAGATACAAGGCAATCCAGACTTCTTAAATTCACTGATTTTTGTAAAAGTATGTTGATAACCCATCTCATTAAACATATGAATGACTTGTGTATTTGTTACCTTGTAGAAAGTTTCATCATTGAGGATATTAAGAATCTGAGAAAAATGCTTCTTCGTTAACCGTAAATTCTTCTCATTCATTATCTACATCATGAACTTCATCCAATCACTCAATGTAATAAGCTTCGTCTTTAACCTTATTCTTCTTTTCATCTAGCTTTCGCAGCATACATTCATTGACCATATGATTCGCTCCATTACAGTAATGCAAGTCGAATCCAGAATCATCTTTCAGCATTTTCTCTTTCTTCTCCTCCTCAAAACAAACTTCCTTTTTCTCAGATTTCTTCTCATCATTCCCATATTTTCCAACAAATCTTCCTCTCACTTCACTTGTTTCCGACTTTGCGTTGAAAGGCTTCTTCAAAAATTTCTTTACGCGATTGTTAGAGTAAAATGCCATAGCTTCATCATCATAGTTGACGACCTAAACTGATCTATGATTCCTCAACAATTTCATTCACTTCGGATTCATGTGCTTTCACCACGTTGTAAAGATCATTTAGAGAGAAGTAATCAAAACTTTGTTGTTTCTTAATCATCAGGCTTACATTCCTCCATTCCTTCCGAAGACCCATGATGAATATTAGATTAAACTCCATTGTTGATCAAATGACTCCATATCGGTTACATTTGAAGATAAGCTCATTCAGAAGATCATAATAAGATTCAATCGTCTTTCCTTCCTTTTGCTTGAATTCTCCTAATTCAAAAGACATTGTTTGATTGAACTGGTCTTCGTTTTTTCGCTTCCTTGATACTTTTCCTTTAAAGTATCCCAAATCTCTTTTGCAGTCTTACAGCTACGCACATAATTGTAAAAAATTGGAGGAAGAACACCTCTGAGTTCTCACATACAGTTCTTCTCATTCTACAACAAGCTCTCAGACTGTTCATTAACAATTTGATTGTTAGAAGAAGTTCCAATACTCCGAACAACAGCAGGAAGACGAGCATCACCGAGAATACACTTCCAAAGATCCTAATCAATTCCGTTCAAATAATCCACCATTCGATCAGTCCACTGATCAAAGAATTCAGGAATTAGCATCGGAATCTTCGTTGATGATCAAAGGAGATGAGAGTAAGAAGTCCTCGTGCTCACATTAAAGTATGCCATTGTTGTACAATTTTTTTTTGAGTAAAGCTCAAATCAGATTGAGATCAAACAACTAAAACACACATAATTCAACAATCGAGCACTCGATTTTTCAACTAGAACATATAATCGATTCACAACAAATAATCTAAGATGATTTTTTTTGAAGAAAAAGGGCGGAAAATTAAAACTTGAAATGAGACTCAAAACTTTTACGAAAACTCAAAAAATCAGAAAAATTCCGTATGAATCCTACTCTGATACCAAATGTATTTGTAATGAAATCGAGTATGAATTATGAGATTAGAGTAAAGTAAGATTGATAAACACGATATCTAAATAATGTTTGTTTGGCTCAGTTATGCTTTCAAAATGTAAAAGAGTTTTAGACAAAAGGACGAAAGTTCTAATCTATCTCTAGTACACATCCCATATTTATAGGGATCACGAAAGCACACAATAATATAAGGGATTGAACACTAAATTCTTCAATACATAAAGTGCCCTTGTAATAAATTAACAAACTATCGAAACTATCATTGACCTTCGACACCTCACAATGATATTCGACATTTACAAAATTAATGTGGTAAAAGTTAATTCATTTATCTTGAACCATATATATATATATATATATATATATATATATATATATATATATATATATATATATATATATATATATATATATAGAATGTATCGATCATCATGACTAAGATTTGATTTTGCTAAAAAAACAATCAAATACATTTAATCATAGGGTTGTTCATTTGGGTGGATTACTTTGATCCGATCTAATCAAATGAATCTAAATTGATTTTGGTTTTCAAAACATAGATCTAAATAGTCCAAAGAAAATTCAAGTTTGATTGGATCCAACTAGATTACAATTCGGTTGGATTACTTATTATAATTCAGTTTTTAAAAAACAAAATATTTGAAAACCACATATAATTAGAATATTAGCCAACTTTATAGAAGAATCAAAGACAAATTATTTAGTTGTGGTAAAATAATTTATAGTTAATATGTTACAAATAAAAAACGTTTAAGAGAAAATATGTATTAATGTTTTTATCAAATGAAACTTTTTGAAACTATTTGAAAAATAAACTACTAATAACATACTATGAACATGCAAACTTAATCATGGTTTTAAGTGCTTAACTAATTTTTATAATAATTTTTAAGTTTCCATACTACTAGATGTTGAAACCAAATAATGGATCCTTTGAAATTTTGAGAAAAAAATATTTAAATATGATAAAATGACCACTAATGAATATTAACAATAGTCTTTAAAGTCTTGTTGTGATCAAGTATCAAGAATCAAGAATGAAGGATAAAAGAAGAAAATTAGTTATATTATATAGGGGGAAATGAATATTTGGATATATCTATGAAACAATGTGTGACAAATTAAAAGAATTCAAATTAATGTGGTAACAGATAATTCATTTATCTTGAACCACATTAATTTTGATGACATTCCTCTTAATATATATATATATATATATATATATATATATATATATATATATATATATATATATATATATATATATATATATATATATATATATATAGTTAATCAGCTGGAATGTATAGATCATCATGCCTATGATTTGATTTTGATAACAAAACAGTCAAATACATTTACTCTTTGGGTTGCTCGTTTAGGTGGATTTATTTAATCCAATCCAATCAAATGAATCTAAATTAATTTTGTTTTTCAAAGCATAGATCCAAGTAGTCCAAACAAAATTCAAATTTCATTCGATCCAACCACATTACAATTTGGTTGAATTAGTTTTTATAATTCGGTTTTAAAAAACAAAATATTTTATAACCACATATAATTAGAATATTAGCCTACTTTATAGAAAAAACAAAGACAAATTATTTAGTTGTGGTAAAATATTTTGTAGTTAATATTTTGCAGATTGAAAATGTTTGAGAAAAAAATACATATTAATTTTTTTATCAAATGAAACTTTTTGAATCTATTTGAAAAATAAACTACTATTTAATAAATAACTATAATAATAATAATAATAATAATAATAATAATAATAATAATAATAATAATAATAATAATAATATTAATAATAATAATAATAATAATAATAATAATAATAATAATAATAATAAGTATGTTTAGATTATTTGGTTCTTAGTTTATAAATCAAAACCAATTCGAAATCTATTTTTTTTAAACCTATCTAAAAATCAAAATGTCCAAATAATCCATTCCAGTTTGTTGAATTGAAAATTTCGATTTTATTTAATTCATGAACAATCTATTTATTCCATAATAAAATAGTCATTTTTACAAATATTCTGCTAGGGACCTTAATTCACGGGCCAATTCAGATAACTTTGATACTTTCTAAAATGTCAAGTCCCGACGAATTCCTAATTAAATAATGAGTATTAATAAAGATTCTTGATTGAATGTGATGTTTAAATAAATTTAAGATTATAATGTAGTTTAAGATTATAATGTAGTTTAAGATTGTTTAAATAAATTTAAATACATTTAAGATTATAATGTAGTTTCGATGGAATTTGATTGAGTTGTTACATGCATGAACTAGGTTCTTTCCAATATTAATCACAATTATTAATATTAAAAATAAAATTTCTTTTTCTCTCTTTTTTTTAAAATTTTTAAGAAACACTATCAAAATTAATATGGTTCAAACATGTCATGTATTCAATCATATTCATTAAAAACTTTTTAATTTTAAAAAAAAAATTAATTAATTGTATTTATTTGAAATTTTCAACTCTTACTTCTTGTACTTAAATAAATGATTAATTGTAATATTTTTCCTATCTAAAAACTTGAGAAAATTACTAATACACCTGCATTTTGGGCGTTGAGCTACGGT